TCCCTACTTGTTCTGGTTTAGAAACATGCAGAAACCAAGTGAATAGAAGTGGGGGGGCACAGCAGAGGGGCAACATAAGGAATGAAGGAGGTCTGTCTGACTGTAGGTAGGAGAGGAAAATGCTAAGTTTGTTCCTGAACTCAACTTTTAAAGAATGTCTTCAGTTCTTTGAATCTGTTCTGGTTTCTCTGTCTGGTTCTTCATAGAGCGGAACAAAGCAGAACCTGGAACTAAACTCTATTTCTGACATTTTGAATCGAAAAAACTTCCTGGATGGAAGAGAAAAGTCTTCAAACTTGGAAACAAAGTCCAATGGATTGATTTTCAAACTTTTTATGGGATGACAATGACCTGATTTAGTGTTAGACTTAATCTGATTAGGTGATTTAGTGTCTAGATTAGGTATCTCTATGGTGAAACTATTTGCCATTAATCCTGACCCATGGGGGGGTCAGAGCTGAGCCTGGAGCAGAGACCAACCTGCAGGATAAACAGCCTGCTGCTCCCCCCGAACTTCAGCACGTGCCCCACCCTCAGTCTGACGTAGGTCTTCGGGGGGATCTTGTTCTTGTTGACCACCGTGCCGTGGGTGCTGCCCAGGTCGTGGACGTAGAAGCCCCTCTCCTCCCCCACGCAGCCCCCCTCCCCGGCCTGGCCTCGGTACTGGATCACCGCGTGGTACCTGGAGATGGACGGGTGCTCCAGAGGGACATCACAAACCGGCAGCCGCCCCACGACGAAATAGCTCCGGTGTGTGAGAGGGACGGTGTCCACTATGGTTCCGTTTTTCAGGATTTCCAGGGCGTAGTTAGCCTCTGGGGTAGGGCCCCCCCAGGGGGGCTGGGTGTAGGGTAGAGGGGGGAACTTCCCAGCTTTGACAGGAGTCCCCTTCATTTTCATGACTTGTTTCTTTGCCACATCTTGTTGTCTCTCTGCAGCATCGTTAGACTCACACTGCTGCTCCTCCATGTTTGCTGCTACGCTGTTGTTGCGCCTGTTAGCTAGCGAAGGCACCGCTAGCTTAGCCGGTTTTTTAAAGGTTTCTGTTTTGGTTTCTTCCTTCTCTTCACATTTTTCCTCATCTTTAGTGTTCAGCTGCTGCTTCTCTTCCACTCCAGGCTGCGTTTCTTCCTCCATAGTTTCCTCTCTCCGGTTAGCGACGAAGAATCACCCGAGCTGATTTGGTGCAACTGTGAAATGTGTCCGGAGAGGCGCCCAATAAAAACAACGAAAAAAAAATACTTTATTAAAGCAAAAATGAGGGAAAAACTTCTTAGAAAACGTCTTTAGACTTATTTATTTAAAACAGGATGGAAATAATTATATTTGCAATCAAAGTTGAATTTGTAAGTTAGAGGAACAAAAATGCGCAAACAGCCTTTGACGCACGGACAGAGAAAATTGATACACCTCTGAAGTTAGTATCCGATTTGTGGGCTTTCAATTAAATCCCCATTTTAGCAGATTTAAGGATTTATCAGTTCTAGTTTCAAATTTAACGAACTTGGATGATTTGTCCTGAAATCTAATCCGATTTGTTCAAAATTGGATTTAGAAACATATAAACTTTATACAAAATTAAAGAAAAAAGGTAAATTATTATATTTCTTTTATCCTTTATTTTTTCAAGAAAGTTGGATCACGTTGTTTAAGTCAAGACTCTTTTCTCTAGATTTTTAACATCAAATATTTATTTTTAAAGTTTTCTGGAGAGCCTTTATTTGAAATAAATGGATTTTATTGATCAGCTGGACCCTGATCGGTTGTTTGAACTAATGAAACAGTATTAAAGATACCTTTTAAAAATACAATGTGCATTTTTTAAATGAAATGTGCAATAATGGTTTAGGGATTTTAAAATAATAAAAATTGGATTTTTCTTTTGACGTGTTTTAGATTTTAAAAAGTCCCGCTTTCATAAAAGCTGCGGAATGGCCCTTTAAGAAACCGCTTGGAAACTCTCAATCAGATACGAACTTCAACATCTTTCAAAGCAGCTAGTTCGTCCGGCTTCCCGTTCAACGCTTAACATCTTGTGGCTTAAATCATACAAAAGTAAGTTCCAATCTGCCTTTTCTGTAGATTTATCAATTATATGACGACATAATCACAACATGACGTTAAACCGATGCTTAAATATTAGCTCAGCTGCTTGTTTTCTATGTATGATATGAATTCGTTCTGCCTCTTTTTTTGCAGCACCAAACTCCATTCAATAATGTGATCATTGTTCTGTTCTTGAAGATGTCCACCTATAGAATATTCCCAATATTTCCATTTTTTATTTTAAATGAATGAATGAGTGGAAAACCATAATTCGGTTTGCCTCAAGTCCAAAAATACATTTTTAGGTATGTTTTTAGGCATGTTTTATAATTTTTATTCGTCCATTGACTTTAATGTGAAGCCTCTTTCATTTCGATCATCATTTAAAGCTTCTGATTGTTTCGTGCAGCAATCGGTGCAATGATGCATGAATTTGAATGTGTTTTATAAATACTAAAATCTAAAAGTTTGTGCATTTGCAGTGGTTGGTTATTATGAGCTAATATGTTTTAGAACCACATTTTAGTTCAACTAGAAGTATTTAGTCATCAAGCTTTGCTTTAGGGTCAGTTGGATTGAAAGGAGATCAACTGCATTTACATCTGAACTGAATGATCATATTGCTTAGTAATATACAATTCAGACTATTTTTTTAGTGAGACCTTCACATGCAATGAATTCTGGGATGTTGCAGATTTGCAACAGTGGCCCTGAATGGTTAATTAACACTGAAGACTGAATCTGATATGAACGTTAACTTTATTTGAATGTCACAAAATTAGAAACAACTTTTTCTCAAACCTTTTCTCCACCGACATCTCAAAACCTCTTGAGAAGGCCGTTTCTGTTGAACTGTTGCTCAAAATATATTATTATTTCACTTTATCTTTACCTGAATTCTAATTTTCTTCCTTAAAAATATCCTAAATGCTAATAATAGAACTATTTCTCTTCTTGGCTCAGGTGTGACTGGATGATGATGCGTTACTGGGGTGAGATCCCCGGACCCTCGGGCGCTCCTCCCAGTCGCAGCTCCTTCGACTTGCTCCAGCGGGAGTTCCGCTCCGTGGAGATGCAGGACCCCCCCCTGCATCAGCCCTCGGCCCAACGTCCCAGACCCACCACCATGTTGGACGTCCCCTCCGAGCCGTGCAGCCTCACCATCCACACCGTGCAGCTGTGCCAGCACGCCCGCCGTTTGCGTGCCCTCCTGGCAGTGGCCCAAGCCCAGGGTCAGGGTCAGAGCTCGGCATCAACCGAGGGTGGGGGCCGGCCGGAGGAGGCTGAAGCCAACCTGCCGCAGCGTCCTCCGACTCCGCCTACGGTCCCTGATGATCTGCTCCCTGCAGACAGCAAAGATCCCCAGCAGCCCTTTCAGCTTCGCCACAGCGACCCTGAGAGTGAATTCTACAAGTATGTATAATTTAAAACGTTTCACCAATGACTCTTTTTTTCCTTTCAGTGAAACTTTATTTTCTGTTGGTCTAACATAGAAAATCCCATCAGAATACATTAAAACTGTGGTTGTAATGTTACAACATATGAATGAAGTTCAAGGTTTATGAATACTTTCATCAGACGACTGTTTTGTTGCTCCGCTGAAGACGAAGCTCATATTTGCGTTTCAGAGGTAAAGGTGAACCCGTCACTGAGCTGAGTTGGCCGTCCTGCAGGCAGCTCCTCTATCAGTCGGTGGCCACAGTTCTGGCTCACGCTGGCTTTGAGTCTGCCCAGGAAAGCGTCCTGGAGACCTTGACTGACCAGGTCCACGAACATTACCTGCGCCTCACCCAGCTGCTGCGGGTGGCGGTGGACCGCGAGGCTCGGCTGGGGGCCACTCCCTTCCCGGACGTGGTGGAGCAGGTGTTCCATGAGGTGGGCATCGGCAGCATGCTGTCCCTGCAGCGCTTCTGGCAAGTGAGGATCAAGGACTATCACAGCCACATGCTGCAGGTCAGGCTGTGGACAGCTTTACTTTCCTCTCTTTTGTTTTTCTTAACTACCAGAAACAAAAGTAGATCTTTTTTTTTTATTCTAGGTGACGAAGGAGCTTTCAGAAGAATATGAGCGACTGGTGAATCCGGAGAAAGCTCTGGAAGACTCCAAACCTCTGAGGATTAAGGAGGAGCCCATGAGTGACATTCCCTTCCCTGTTAGTGAGGAACTTGAGGCTGATCTGGCCTCTGGGGATCAGGCTCTGCCCATGGGGGTCCTGGGGGCCAATGCTGAGAGGCTGGCTTCAGGCTTGGATAGTGAGCAGTCCCCTCACGCTTCAGGTGAGACCTCGAAGCAAGGCGTGCGTGAGCAGCGTCTTAGAGCAGGAGGAGGGATTTAGGAGCTCACCTAGGAAAGCTTCAACTGAAAAACAAACAACCTGTCTGCAAGGTGATGTTGTCATGGCAACCTTTTGATTCAATTAAGCCTGCAGTCTTTAGTTGGGATGCATTATTTCACCTTTTTCACGTCCAAACTGGTTTCCTCGATTCATTCATCTGCCAGTATTCTGTTATTATCAGTTCTTTGTTGTTTGCAGTGATAAACTTTTCTCTACTGGTCAGTATTTCTACCTAAACATGGCCTCTTCATTAAATATAAGGTCACAATAAAAGGAAATAAATCTATTCTAACAGCAAATGAACAAATTGACTGTATTTAGAAATCAGAGACTAAAACTTATTAAAGATAAACTTTGTTCTCAAAGTAAATGTTTTCTACAGCAGACATGTTAACCTGATAAGCATTCCACTTATTATTATTGTAATGCTTAAAGCCGCCGTACACTTTACCATTTTTTGCCCTTTTCAGGGCGACTTTCAGCCTAATGATGCACTGTGTAGTGAACGGGGGGGGTCACTAGTGATCAGCCTCTAACAACCCCCCCACCCCCCCCCCCCCCCCCCCCCCCTCAATCAGGAAACTTTGTCGGGAAAAAATCAAACCTTTTTGTAATTCAGTCTTAAGGCCGTCGTAAGGTGCCGTGGGCAAACAAGGATTCTTCTTCTTCTTCTTCTTCCTCTCTGCTGTAAACCCAGCATCATGGCGGGGGGGCAATGAGTGAAATGGAGTTCTTTCTGTCAAACTGACAGACCGTAGTAGCCACGTTAGCTCAGCCATGTCTTTGTCCAAATACGTCGTCTCCTTTTCTTTTTAGGGCTTTCAGCACTAAATCGCCCAAATATCCAAGGCAGCGCGTTTCACTCTAGTGAGCTTCATGTTCCTCTGCTACTGGTTTGGCTTCCAGATAGACGAGTCCGAGTAGCGCCATCTCACTGCGGAGCTGAGTCCCACGTTTTTAGACGTAGAGTGTGAGCAGGTAGATCGCATCAGAGCGTCGGGTCGCACAGTGAGAGAATCATCATACGACGTAACGGCAGGGTACAGCTGTAGCTTCGTGCAACGATTAAAGAAATTGCACGGTGTGCGCCCGGTTTAACCGTTACCTTCAACAAATAACATACAAACGACTGCTTCATGTTATTGTTACTAATCACAGATGCTGGCTCTGCTCCAGCCGTTCATCTTCTCTCACCTAATTCATTAGGGTCATCTTTGGTCTGGTGCTTTTCTCTGGCAGTCTATAGGTGAGGGGGGGGTCAACCCTGGACAGGTCACCAGTCTGTCGCAAAGCAACACAGAGACACACAATCTAAAACGCACACACTCACACCTTAGGATACTTTAGAGAAGCCAGTTAACCTAAGAGAGAAGCCACGCATGCTCAGGGAGAACATCTAACTGCATGCAGAGAGACCGCGGGCCGGGAATCAAACCAGGAACCTTTTTGCTGCAGGGCAGCAGTGCTACCCACTGCGCCACCATGCAGCCTGTTTAGCTACAATTCAAGCTTTTCCAATATTAAAGAAAAGTTCAATAAGTATAAAGATTCACAGTAACCTGATGGAATGAGTCCAAACATGTCCTGCTGTCAGCGTTTGAGTCGCTGCCCTGTGACTAAATCTCCTCTGATGACTTCCTTCAGTCTTTAGGTTTGTTGCCTTCAGCCCGTTGATAAAACGGCTTGGTTTGCTCCTTGGTTTGTGGGATTTCTAGTCTTCAATATTTTCTCACTATTGTGATGAAAGCCTGATTAGCCCCTGTCTGTTTCTGATGCTGTTTGTATCGTAGGTCACAGCGGGGAGTTCGCCCTTCCAGTGTAACGGCTCTGGAAACATGGCGCGTTGCGGCCTAACTCTGGTGTTTCCAGTATTTCCACACATCAGACATGGCGAATGAAAGCTGGTTAGCGGCAGTCCATGCCTGACTCCTTCTAGCAAGCTACTAAGTATTGAATGGATGTGAATCAGGTCTCTGAAGACCCGCCTCCTTCCCAGAGCAGAGAATGAACCTGTCAGCAGCGAGCTGATCACCTGATGGAGGCGCTGCAGACTTTCCATCAATCATGGAAACACAGACTGGGCTCATGGATCAGAAATGTCCGCAGGTTTGATCAGGATTTTAACATATGTTGGATCAGCTCCTTCCCTTACATCATGCTTTTTAACCTGATGTAAAGGTAGACTTGTTAGAGGAAGGTTTCTTTCTAATTTTGTTAATTTGTCACTTTTCTAATTGTCACAAAGTATCAAAGTGCAGAGATATCTGAAGGAGAAAGATTGACCATCAACAGCATTTATATAGAGTAGAACATCCTTTGGCCTAAACTGAACAGAATAAAAACATCAACACTGACCAGAACGACGTCACCATGCAGTAAAACTTAGTAGTGGCAGCATCATGCTGAGGGATTGCTCTTCTTCCAATTGAACTTGGCTTTATATGAAGATTTCAAACTAATATTCAAATTCCATGAACCTTTAGCAAACAGGCAGCCAGCCTACGGTGGCCTCAGAGGGTCAGGGGCTCCAGGAGGAAGGCGGTGACCTAAAGAGACACTCTGCTGCTCCTCTCCAAAACTGTAGGTGGCCGCAGACAGGAGGCCTCTGATTGGTCAGATCTCCATCCGTTCTACACTATGCATATTTCCTGTTTTGTTTGTCTGGCCGCCATTATGGAAAACGACTGGTGAAGATGGAGCAGCTAGCAGAGCGAGGTGCGAACGCTGGGAGCCTTTTTCCACCTGGATCCCCGCTCTGTTTGGCCCTCATGTCCCTCCGTTGTCTCATAAACTCGCCCCCCCTTCCTCTCCGCCTCGGCCGTATCTAGACCCACAGCTAGTTCCTGATTGGCCCTCTGGCGTTGCGGCGTGGAATAACAGCGCAGACCGCGCTTCAATATTGGGCAGAAATCAAACATATCTTTGACACGCTGCTGCAGGAGGATAATCAGGCCTTTAGGGAAAGGTTAGCAATATTTACCCGCCCATGAGGTTTTTTTTCCTTTACTGAGGTTATTAAGGGTCGATTTAAATGAGAAATACTAAAATAATTTTATCCTGATCTCATTTTAATGTTGCATGTTTTTTTTTTATCATTGAAAGCAATGAATAAAATCTGAAAGGTTGGTAATATATTATTTTTGGGCTCTGCAGGTCCAGTGACTCTTTGGCTTTAGTCTTGATCAAAGTTTTATCAATTGATACAATTCTGTAAGAAACCTGAATAAATTTTTTTTGCAGAACATCGATAAACGACCTTTCTATACCCCTGCTATCGCTGGGCGTGGAAAAGTCGATGTTTGCAAAATGATATTCATTCCATAAAAGCCAGAGAAGATGACAGGTGCTGTTTGGATTGTTCTGTCTTCATCAGGTGGGGGCGGGGCCACCAACTCGCCCCTTTGGCCCCAAGTAAAGATGGAGCCGCAGGACGGGGATGAAGGTCAGGCTGCCGGGCACCATCATCATCATCATCCTCACGGCGTTCTGAGCGGAGACGTGTTCGAAGAGGGGGGTCCCATGTCCACCATGAGTGAGTCTGGAGGCGCCATGGCTCCTTCGCCAACAGGAGCGCCGTCCGAAGGCAGCTATGCGTCACATTCACCCGACTCCCTGATGGGAACGTCGCCCGTCTTCAACCAGAGACCCAAGAAACGAATAAAGAAGATCTGAATGTGGAAAACTCAGCATCCAAACGCTTAGAGATAAAAACGGAAACGTTCATTTCCACAGAGAGGAGGACGGGTGCTATTATGTCTTTTTATTTTTTGGAATATTCTATATTTTCTCTGAAATACTGATTTTTAGTTTGATAATAAATGGAAAAATAATTTTTTAAGTTTTACGCTTGTGTTTTTTTCATTAAGATATTCTAATAAATGCAAATTTGACCAACTCTGTGAGCAGGTCAACTTGCTGTGGAACCTCTTCATATATTAGTTTTCTGCCAGATGTTGTTGCTGATGCAACCAAAATCCAAACCTGAGTCCTTTGCAGATGTTTCCACACCGTCCTCGGTTATTTCCTAATATGGTCGTGTGCTCTACGGTTCCTTTCATCTTCTCTCAGAACCCTCTTTAGAAGTCATTCACATGCAGCTCATGCAACCAGGTCCTTTTTTCATTTAAGGATGACTTGACTTCCTGCACTGTTTTATATAATAAAATAAGTCTGAACGCATTCTGATCTTGCATCATCCTCAAATGTCACATATTCAGAGCAAAGTAATTTCAAATGTAACGGTTTCCCCTCATTGTTTCCCCCGCTGCGGTATTCTTTACAAGTATTCAGACGCAGCGGAACGATCAACATTCCTGTCAACCTGAAGCTGCCTCGCCACATTAGCATCTGTTTCAGTAATGAGGCAAAGCTGCGGATGCAACACCAGAGGCAATTATGCCCTGGTTGTTTGCATCGCCAAGGCAACATCAATCCAGCCTTGATGGCAAATTAATTATGCAATGCATAACTTTGCATCTGGAATGAGCAGGGATTGCTTGAATGCAAGTCATTTTTCTTTTGTGTGGACCTCTTTCATTTTCACAATTGGACAGGTAATGGTCTCTTCCCCCGGAAAGTGCTGATGAGGGTCGCATATGTATTGATATTCAGTTTGAGCTATTGATTCATGCTTTTTGCATTGCTATGAGAGCCAGGTGGTGATTTGATGCAGCTGGAAAACCCAGCGACTAATCCATGAGGAGAAATTTATGGTCAGAACGCCAAAAGTTCATAAAAAGTGTTTCAAATAGTGTCCACCATTATTTCTCAGGAAACGCTCACTGATAACTCATGGGAAACAAAGGTTTTAAAGTCAGGATAAAAAAACAAATTTACCTTCTGTTTTAGGGTTAAATAATAATGACATATAATCTAAGGTATCCAAAAGATGAAATGTATAAATTCTTATGAGTTTAATAACCCTTCTCCCTCTGGTATTTTAGGATTATTTAAACGAACATACTGACCAGGATGTCCTTGTCATGTCTTGTTCATAATATTTTTTTTATATGAAGGATTGTTCTTCGTAAAAATCCTCTCCATCTAGAGCCAACCTCTAGATGGGGGCGGGGGGTCCGCTGCACTGGAAGCATTTCCTGGGTCAGGCTGTGGTTGCAGAGGTAGAATCTCACACAGCTGTTTTGTGCCTGAAGCCTTATTATGATTCTTCACTTGACTTGTAGAGATAAACAGGTGGAAGGTGGAGGAGCAGCACCGACGTCTGATTTGTTGGAGAACGAGCGCGTAGAAGTGGGGGGTGCATGGCAGAGGTGTGAGATAAAATGTTTGAGGGCAGAGAGAGAAGCTTTGGGTCAAAGTCTGACTGACTGTAGGTAGAAGAGAAAAATGCTGAACTTGTTCCTGAACTGAATCTTTAAAGAATGTCTTCAGTTCTTTGACTCTGTTCTGATTCCTCTCTGTCTGATCCTCCTTCTGTTTAGCGGCCGTCTGCATCTGTATTATTGCTCTGCTTTGCCTCCAGCTTCCTCCTCTATGCCTCCTTATTTTATATCATCCTGACTTTAAGCTGTTTCTGTATTCTCTTCAATAATTCGCTCTGTCCCTTCCTGAAGAATCTTTTTTCTTGTTAAGTAGTTCATTCAAATCACTGATGATCCTGGATTTATTATTGGATGAAGATTTTCATTTTTCTGTTAGTTTTCTGTCAGTCAAACATTCAATGCATTGAGATTCTCTCCATCTGGCTGGCACAGTGGATCCAAGTCTAAAGCTTACTTTCTTTTTTAAATAATTCCCTTTTAATGCAAAATGCCTTTAATAAAAGCACAGGCAAAAGTCCAACATTTAGTTTTCTTTGGTAGAGCAGCAAACAAAAAGCTGAAACTCCAGAAGTTTCAGAGCGTAGCAGAGAGAGAGGTGTGATTTTTATTAACCGGTTCTTACAAACTAATTATGCTGCTGTGTCTGTAGCTTAACAGAAACTGCATTGATGTCATCACATGCAGTAGACGGTGAAATCTCACTGCTAAAATAACTGTGGTATTTTGGTAAATGAGCCCTGCTGCCAGCAGATCAATATCTGCATCTATTCCGTTTCACATTCCCTGGATGACACTATTTGTGGTTCAAAAGCAGCTCCAAACCGCCTCGCTTGCTTTCTGTCTGCTTCTGTCTCCCACAGCCATGTTTCTGTTAAATAATTGCATTGCTGATATTCTGGATTGCTCCTTCCTTGAAGTTGGATTTTATCTAACCTGATTGCTAAAGACATCTGATTGCCTATAATGGCTTGAATTCTCCTTTTCTCTCTCTTTGCTTCTCTGCATTCTCATCACCTCCTATTTTAACTCATCTTGCACTTGCAGTAATTGATGCTTTTGAATTATGCAAAAAGTTAGGAAATCTGAAATAGCTTGTATGGTTATGTATCGATACATTTGTCCCAAAACCAAAAGATATGTGGGAAAATCTTTTCAGATGCGCAGCATTTAAAACCAGAGGGGAAAAATATTTGATCTACAAACGAAGGAACTAAAGTTCTATTGACTAAAAAGAAAATCTGGTTTAAAGGAGCAATCTGCTCTAAAATGCAGCCATCTGGAGCGACACAGTTCTGGATCTTCCTGAGCCATTCATTCATTACGGATCTATGCTGGTGAAGATCCTCGGTCATCCAGGTCATCGTCATTCCTGCAGGTTGGTCCTCTGCTCCAGGTTCACGTCTAAATCCAGGGGTGAAGAAAAACAAATATTTTCACCATCTAAACACCAAATCACTTGAATCAGATTAAAGTCTGGATGTTCACTAAGCTTCTGCAACATCTTGGTTCTTTTATTTATTTTTCAGTCCTTCTTTTATTAACCTGTAATCCTGAACTACTGGAACATCATATCAGCTTTCTTTAATATTTGGTTGTTTTGCACATTTTTTTAATAAACTGCCAAACCTCTGTCCCAGTATAACCACTCAGGTGTGATGCTACGATCGGGTCCAGCGGCTGCATCAGAGTCCAACACATGCCTGACTGTTTGCATGGTGCGTTTGTTGACATGCATGCCTGGTTTTCCAGATACAGGCCTGCATTATGAAAGAACATCTCCATTTGCTTATTAATTTTCATTCATAGATTCATTATTGGTTTGTATTTTAAATTCTGACCTATTCATTCTTATACGTTTTTTTTTTTTCAAAGAATGCTTTAGAAGCTCAAAATGTGCTGTTAGATTCTTTTTAATGTTCTTTTTAAGGGGAAGATTTTACTGTTAATCCAAGGGATATATTGTTTGATTTTTCCAAAAAAGTTTAAAAAACAATCCACTGGACTTTGTTTCCCAGTTTGAAGACGTTTCTCTTCCATCCAGGAAGATTTTTCAAATCAAAATATCAGAAATAGCGTTTAGTTCCAGGCTTTATACAGCAGCCCAATAAAGGCCTTGTGCCAATAGAAATGGACGAACGGGTCCACCCCTTCAATTTGCATGGTTTTTTTTGGGAATTACTGATGTAATATAGAAGTGCAGCAAATTAGAACTATGTGGTGAATTACTGTTACTCCATCCTAGAACCTGGAAAAGACGAGTCCTTTTATCACGTCCTGATATGTTTTAAGTCTAGAATTGAATTGGAGTTCCTAAAATGAAAATATATTCCCATAATTCTTGTGATGAAACCTAACAGAAAACAAGTTTTGTTGTTTCCTTCTACTCATGAGAATGTTGCACGCTAAAGTAGCAAAGCAAGCTATTTTTCTGTGCAACTCTTGAACAAACACTATTTTATTCAGCTGCATTTTTCAGGCCTCTGTGGGGGGACCCCCCTTACCCTTCTTGGTTTGTCAACAGCTCCAGACTTGCTTTGAGCTGCAGAGAAAAATGTGTAATTATAAAAATGTCAAGATGTTGTTTGTGTGAAGCAGGGGTCTCTGAGTGGGGCCAGATCATGCTGAGAGCTAAAGAAAGGACCCAGCAAATGATTAATTACCTGGCTAGGTGCAAAGCCATTCATTTGGCATGAAATTTAATCTCTCCAGCAAAGATGTTTGTGAGCAGAATGAGGGATAAGGCTTTCACTGTGAGACCTGCAGGCTGGTTGGAGTCTATGGAGTTACTATGCATAGCTGATCCCATAGTGATAAGCGATTAATTCCAATATCAAATCATGTGCATCGGCAAGAAATAAATAATTATATGATGACAGGAAGAAAAAAAGATACATGAAATATGACAGGAACGAAGTTACAGCTGTTTGACTGCAGCTTTAAGACGAGAGCGAATGACATCAGTCTGAATGAATCAATAGATATTTTCTTCTGGGTGAAGTGAAAAAAATGTAAAACTAAGCTGCAGATGAGTCAGAATCTGGAATCCATTTATCTATGGATTGGGTTTTATAATTGGAAAAATGAAAAAACAAGAAATCAATAATGTGCTAGATTTAAATGGTTCGCCTCGCAGCAAATAATTAGGAAAAAAAGTGTACAAATATAAAAAACAATCATGCATAGTGATGGAGATATATAATATATAAACTGAAAGGTATATATAAAATAAAAAAACTAACTCTTAATGGTAGACTAAGAGTTTGTTGATGTAGAACATGAATATTATATTGCTGTCACATGTCTTGTGAAATTCATTCTATCTTATTTCACAGCAGATCTTAAAAACTTTACAACACGTTCGGAGAGAGAAAAACAAACTCAGCTTACTTAGCAGGAAAAAAATATCTTAACATAAATGAATGATAAAAACTCAGCAAGGTAGAGTCTGATACAGCAAGAGGAGTTTTAAAGCAGATGTGAGTGACGGGAGTAACCAGAGTTATCCTGGAGAAACTTCCGCTTCACACAGTTATTTATTAGAGA